ATTACATTACATTACATTACATTACATTACATTACATTACATTACATTACATTACATTACATTACATTACATTACATTTCATTACATTTCATTACATACATACATACATACATACATACATACATTACATACATTACATACATTACATACATACATACATACATACATATACATACATACATACATTACATACATACATACATACATACATACATACATACATACATACATACATACATACATACATACATACATACATACATACATACATACATACATACATACATACATACATACATACATACATTACATTACATACATACATACATACATACATTACATTACATACATACATACATACATACATACATACATACATACATACATACATACATATGTACATGCATGCATACATACGAGAGAGGGAGAGTGGGGAGAGAGAGGCTTGGGGGGATGGGGAGGATGGGAGCAGAGGGAGGGAGAGAGGACGACAGAACACACAAAAGGGAGACAAGGAAGAGAGGAAGAAGGAGGACAATGTCGGCGGACTGAGCCGGAGGCTCTAAAGTTTCTAGGACGAACCCTCTCTTGAGAAGCTGTGGCCTGTACATGCATGCATACATACGAGAGAGGGAGAGTGGGGAGAGAGAGGCTTGGGGGGATGGGGAGGATGGGAGCAGAGGGAGGGAGAGAGGACGACAGAACACACAAAAGGGAGACAAGGAAGAGAGGAAGAAGGAGGACAATGTCGGCGGACTGAGCCGGAGGCTCTAAAGTTTCTAGGACGAACCCTCTCTTGAGAAGCTGTGGCCTCTTGGGGTTCGCCCTACTTTTTTGGAAGCAGCCTGGAAGCACGTTGAAAATGTTTATGCTGAGCACACTCGGCCACACAAAAGGGCGTACGAACATCCGAACGGCTGACCCCGGTCTACGCAGATTGTGTCTCAGACTTGTTTCAGACAGGCGTCAGACCCACCAAGTGACCGAGGCTTGTCCACACCGAGCCCCCGCACTTTTTGCCGCACACAGGACCCGAACAAACGCCAATGTGTTTCTAGGACTCTTTGAGAAGCTGTGGCCTCTTGGGGTTCGCCCTACTTATTTGGAAGCAGCCTGGACGCAGGTTGACATGAATATGCTGAGCACACGCGGCCCAGACAAAAGGGCGCACGAACATCCGAACAGCTGACCCCGGTCTACGCGGATCGTGGTAACACTGTGTCTCAGACTTGTTTCGAACAGGCGTCAGACCACCAAGTGACCGAGGCTTGTCTACGCCGAGCCCCCCGCAAAAGCACAGCGCCGGCCCCCTCCCACCCAACTTGCCATCTACACGCATCCAATTGACAACGTGCGCGGCTCTTTCCACAAAGTCACCAGTTGCAATTGGTTGCGAATGGGAAAATAGGTGGAGCAACTAACGAATCCAAGCAAGCATGCGAAGCAAGTTTGTGAAGGCCACGCGGCTCCATGTGAACAGCCCGGCGTTGCAGGTGCGCCAAAATTGTCCTTTTTGCCGCACACCTGACCCGAACAAAGGGTGCCGATGTGTTTCTAGGACGAACCCTGTCTTGAGAAGCTGTGGCCTCTTGGGGTTCGTCCTACTTATTTTGCCGCACACCTGACCCGAACAAATGGTGCAAATGTGTTTCTAGGACGAACCCTCTCTTCAGAAGGTGTAGCCTCTTGGGGTTCGCCCTACGTATTTGGAAGCAGCCTGGAAGCACGTTGACATGAATATGCTGAGCACGCTCGGCCCAAACAAAAGGGCGCATGAACATCCGAACAGCTGACCCCGGTCTACGCAGATCGTGGCAACACTGTGTCTCAGACTTGTTTCGGACAGACGTCAGACCCACCAAATGACCGAGGATCGTCCACACCGAGCCTCCCCGCAAAAGCGCAGCGCCGGCCCCGTCTCCACACAACTTGCCATCCACACGCATCCAATTGACAGCGTGCGCGGCCCTTTCCACAAAGTCACCAGTTGCAATTGGTTGCGAATGGGAAAATCGGTGGAGAAACTAGCGAATCCAAGCAAGCTTACGAAGCAAGTTTGTGAAGGCCACGTGCACGGCTCCATGTGAACAGCCCGGCGTTCACCGCGCGCCAAGATTGTCCTTTTTGCCGCACACCTGACCCGAGCAAATGGCGCCAATGTGTTTCTAGGACTTTAGAGTCTGTGGCCTCTTGGGGTTCGCCCTACTTATTTTGCCGCACACCTGACCCGAGCAAATGGCGCCAATGTGTTTCTAGGACGAACCCTCTCTTCAGAGTCTGTGGCCTCTTGAGGTTCGCTCACTTATTTGGAAGCAGCCTGGAAGCACGTTGACATGAATATGCTGAGCACACTCGACAAAACAAAAGGGCGCACGAACATCCGAACAGAGTCCTACGGTGGAACATGCGGAAACCGCCCGCGAACGAGACTGGCGCGGTGGACGCTCGTGACCTGCGGAAACCGCCCGCGAGCGAGACTGGCGTGGTGGACGCTCGTGACATGGAGAAACCGCCCGCGAGCGAGACTGGCGCGGTCGCCCGCGAGCGAGACTGGCGCGGTGGAGGCTCGTGACATGCGGACACCGCACGCCAGCGAGACTGGCGCGGTGGACGCTCGTGACATGCGGAAACCGCCCGCGAGCGAGACTGGCGCGGTGGACGCTCGTGACAGGCGGAAACCGCCCGCGAGCGAGACTGGCGCGGTGGACGCTTGTGACACGCGGAAACTGCCCGCGAGCGAGACTGGCGCGGTGGACGCTCGTGACATGCGGAAACCGCCCGCGAGCGAGACTGGCGCGGTGGACGCTCGTGACATGCGGAAACCGCCCGCGAGCGAGACTGGCGCGGTGGACGCTCGTGACATGCGGAAACCGCTCGCGAGCGAGACTGGCGTGGTGGACGCTCGTGACATGCCGGCGAGCGAGACTGGCGCGGTGGAGGTGGACGCTCATGACATGCGGCAACCGCCACGTGCGCGGCTCCATGTGAACAGCCCGGCGCTCCAGGTACGCCATAATTGTCCTTTTTGCCGCACACCTGACCCGAACAAACAGTGCCAATGTGTTTCTAGGACGGACCCTCTCTTCAGAAGCTGTAGCCTCGGGGTTCGCCCTACTTATTTGGAAGCAGCCTGGAAGCACGTTGACATGAATATGCTGAGCACACTCGGCGCAAACAAAAGGGCGCATGAACATCCGAACAGCTGACCCCGGTCTACGCAGATCGTGGTAACACTGTGTCTCAGACTTGTTTCGCCCACCAAGTGACCGAGGCTTGTCCACACCGAGCCCCCCGCAAAAGCGCAGCGCCGGCCCCGTCTCCAGACACCTGCGGCGAATCCACCCAACTTGCCATCCACACGCATCCAATTGACAACGTGCGCGGCCCTTTCCACAAAGTCACCAGTTGCCATTGGTTGCGAGTGGGAAAATAGGTGGAGAAACTAACGAATCCAAGCAAGCTGACAAAGCAAGTTTGTGAAGGCCACGTGCACGGCTCCATGTGAACAGCCCGGCGTTCCAGGCACGCCAAAATTGTCCTTTTTGCCGCACACCTGACCCGAACAAATGGCGCCAATGTGTTTCTAGGACGAACCCTCTCTTCAGAGTCTGTGGCCTCTTGGGACTCGCCCTACTTATTTGGAAGCAGCCTGGAAGCACGTTGACATGAATATGCTGAGCACACTCGGCCCCAACATAAGGGAGCATGAACATCCGAACAGCTGACCCCGGTCTACTCAGATCGTGTTGTAACACTGTGTCTCAGACTTGTTTCAGATGGGTGTAGAGCGAGCTTATGCCTTGCTTCCAATTTGGGAGTGGTAGTTTGTGCGGATCCATTTTCGGATTTCTGCGATTGGTTCTTCATGATGAATCGGATGACTTCGTGCCTTCCATGTAGTGCGGGGCCTGTCATGTTTCACCCGTGCCTTTGCCTTTTTCCCTGTGCTTGGTCAGAGCACAGGCTGCTGGCTGCCAATCCGGCTTGAGTCGCGGTTGCTCCCCTTCTTCATCTGTTTTGGGGTTGATTTCCCAACTGTGAACAACTTAAATCTTGGTTTGCCTTCGGACCCTTGAGCCGGAAAACAACGGGATCCACATGCCGTGGGGAGTTAGGCTGGTTTGCTTTTGGGTTCCCGGGCTCCTCTTATTTTAAACATGATAATAAGAGGACAACCCCCAACCAACATGGCATCGGAATTAAACTTGTGTTTTTCCTTTGCCACTACAAGCACATTTTTGGAGGGTACCCACTCAGTCGGGTCGGGTCCCCCCCTGGGCTTTGTGAGAATCCTGGCGCCTCCGTGGAAGTCATATTTCATATTTCTTATGTTCAAAGGGCTCCGACTGGCAGACACAGTTGGAAAGGCAAGGGGACCTGTCAAAGAACTGGGCATCAAGGCAGACTTTGACTGCCAAGAAAGCCAACACAAGCCAGAAAAAACAATGCGGCCTGAAAGTTTGTATCAAAGCGGGTCTCAATCTTGGCACATGCATGGCTTTGGAATGCCTGGATGAAGCTGGTGCCCAAGAAACGACTGCCAAACTCCACGAACCGGGTGATCAAAATCAGGTGATTCAGTTCTCCGAGTCTTGGCGAAAGAAGGGGAGTTGCTCCGGTCGCAAACAAGCTACACCGCAGCATAGACGCATCCACAGCAGCCGGCCACACATGGCCACAGTCGCAAGTCGCAGTAGTCACAATGCAGGGGGTCAAATGCACCGTAGGCCATGCATCAGGTGTTTTGTGTTCGAAGAACTTGATGTTTTGTGTTGACAAGTGACCTGGCACGACGCATCACACATTAGACTTCCACATACGAAACTGCTCCAAAAATGACTCTGCATTATGAACAACAGGTGGTTTGATGTGGTAGACTAAAGCTCTCACGCTGGTGACTGGGGCAGAATAGGGCCTTCTGCAAATGGAGCGGTTTTCAGTAGCCGAAACTTCGACCAGTTCAAGTATGTATGCAGAGCAACTCAAGCGGCGCAAACCATCCCTTCATAAAAACCTGGGTGTGGCTGAAAATTACAGAGCCAGGGTTACGCAGGTGATAGTCTTTGGTTCCATTTACCAAGGTGCTATTATGGCATAGCTTGTCGAACAGCCATGTATTTACCCCTTGGTTCCGACTCGGGTGTCTTTTTATGAAGAGTATGTCCTTTGTGGTTTTCAAGGGGTACCCCTCTCTCCCACGTTGCCATGGCTCCAAGCGGTCCCTCCACGAGGAAATTGATCTTCCAGGTACCCTCCCACAAGCGCCATGTTAGCATGGAGCAACCGCCATCCCACGTTCTCCTTGAGGCTCATCTGCGGCCTCCCAGATCTGAGAATCGTGCGCCTGGCGGCCTCACACAGATCGGCTCCAGCTGAAGAATCTGATGTGACTTGGGTCTGCGTTTGCGTCTGGATGCTTTATGAGGGTACCCCTTTTTCGTGTTTTTAAAGGGAATCCAAAGGAAAACCATATTTTGCTGTCGGGTCCGCGAAAAACATACACACCCATATCTTTGTCTCGCTGTCAAACCTCGGTTTGCGGTGCCTGAGGCGACCGGCTGCACCTCCATTAATCACAGCTGTTACTTGTTTTCTTTCTGATCAATTCGTCGTGGTGACCCTTTGAAACCACAAGCGACAATCCTTTGAATCATCAGGAGGCACTTCTTTCCTGACTAGAAATGATGCGGGCCCCCGAATTATTCATTATTCTCCATTAACCAAAAGGAATCATGGGAATTGTGTGAAGGGGTACTATATATACATTAGTCAGGAGATTGATTTTTAAACACTGTCATATGCTCGATTTACCCCCTAGGTAAATTGATCTGTGTGCGCACACTCGTTGTCATCAATGGTTCGAGACACCTCCTGAGTGTATTGCAAACTGCGAAGGTGTCAGATCTTCCAATACTCCGCGGAAACAACAATACTTCGAAAGGTGTTCAAACAAGACTCTGAACCATTTCTATGCTCTTTGAGCCAGCCAGATTATCCACATTCAATCTCAAGCATACGCCCTGCATGTCTGCCCAAGGATAATACATCAGCCATTCTAAGGAGCGTTGCAAGCAACAGTAGGATGCAAATTCCAAAGCGCCTGCATCGTGGTGGTCAAGAACTTCACAAAGTTATTGTAGTCCTCGTTTCCCGACCTTGCGCAACATCCACGGCCATGTCTATGTTCGCAATGCGCGAGCCCCACAAGAAGAAAAAAAAGCTCGGACAGTTGCTGACTTGCAAATCGGCATGAAATGCCAAAATTACCTGCAAATACTGAACACATATTCAAATAATTATCAGGATATCATGCTAACATGTGACCCTTTTCCAAGGCTTCATGTAGGACAATGTAGGTGTTGACCGGGCAATCACCCAGGTTTTGTCTTCAAGCCGCAGATCCAATGCCAAGCGACCCTAAACAAAATCCGGTTGAACAAGTGTCAGTGACGCATACGGATTAGTTCCAAGCGAACGAACAGCGCCGCATCCGAAAGGAACAAATTCTAGAAGCCACGGGTCGCCTGGGCTGATTCACCCAATCAGTTGTAGTCGTTTTGCAAAAAACGATGAATGCTTGAACGGAATGACCATCCCATTCGGATAGGCCACGCACCGCTTCGCGCGAAAAAGCAAGTCTAGAATTCGCACGCGCTGGGCACAAAACAAATGCCGCGTTATACAACCTCAGAACTGGCAAATGCCAAAGTGTGGGGGAAGAAAAAAGGCTGCTCCATTCTTGACCTTGCCAATGCCGAAAGAACGGCTTCACAACGGGCCAGCTGATTTCTACCTCCCTGATTTGCCGTTGTGCCCCAATCTCGGCAACATGCGGGTGTTTCCCATGAGGGAGGGACCCCATGCGGATGATGGGTTTAAGGGCAACCAACAGGAACCAGCCGGTTTCGACTCCCTATTCTCGTCTTTGAAGGGTACAGTACCTACCAGTACCATTTTGCGAGTGAAGGGAAATCAGAAGCCAAACTGAAACCATAAACCAACCCATTTCGGGGCATGAGGCAAACCCCACATAGACTTTGTTCTCGTGTGGGCTGAGCGCCCCCACTCGTTGTCCTTCGTCTCCTTTGCGCCTGAGCCGAGCGGCCACGGACATGGGGGGATTTGACGAAGTCGCTTGGTTTCTGAGAAAAACAGGTGAGTCTGCCAGGGTTGCTATTTTTGGGGGGCTTTTCACACCAAGCCAAGCTTGAGCCAACATACAGTGACAGTTTACCCCCATACGCGCCTATACGGCAGAGAAGTGGTGGACGCCGACTTGTTTCCATCTGAGTCTTGTCCACTGCTATCTGAACAAGTGCCGGACTGGCTCTCAAAGAACATCTTTGCACGTGCACCTGAATTCGGCATGCGGAGTGACACCAACAGCGCGCTCGACTCAACTAGAACCGCCGGATATCGCCGGTCCTAGTCCAAGTCATAAAGCCCCAGACTGCTCTCATTGGCAGTCACCGCTTTAGGCGCGGGTTCGGCCAACGGCTTGTCCACTTTGCGTGGGGGCGGCGCAAAAACCCGAGCCGCCGCCAGCACGGCGTCCGCGGCTCTGCTTTCACCGGCCTCACCTTCCTCGGCTTCAGCTTCATGAAGCTCGCGTGGCAGAGGCTCGCGGATCGGCGGCTCCGGCTCGGCATCCTGATCCCTGGCCTCTGGGGCCTGGGCAGCCCGCCGCGCCTTGGCGCGCTCCGCGTGCGCCTGCTGCATCTTCCGGAAGTTCTGGAAGCTCTTCTCCTTCTCCTCTAGAGCTTTACCCTCCCGAGACTGAAATACATGAATTCCCCAAGAAACCCTAGGGCGACCTGCGGTACGCTCCGAACCCTGAAGAAAGCCTTCAGCACCAAGGAAAAGCATGAGCAGAAAATGCACAACCTTCAACGTTCAAACCTCCTTTCGCCGTGCTCACCTTCAATGCGAACACATCACAAGGATTCAAACAATTTTCACCCCAACCCACTACTTGGTTGACGTTGGACGGGAAGCAAAGATTTAATTTTGAGCAGTTAAGTGGTTGGATTTCAACCACTAGACCACAATAAGCAACCATGTAAAATGTTTCCCAACAATAACCAGGCTAAAAAGACACATCCACCGAGAAATCCATTTCCTCAAGCCATGCATCATCTCTAGCCCACCCCCCCAACCCCCCCAACCCCCCCTCCCCCTCCCCCCCCTCCTCCTTCTCCCTCTGCCAATGCATTTGCTTTGCCTGCAGCTCCGCCTCCTTCCCGCCGGACGCCCAGGCCTCGCAGCCCGCGCGCTCCAAACCCGTCACCGGGCGCTCGTCCAGCCACCGCAACAGCCGCAGCTCGCTGATGAGGCGGCGCCGCACGTCCTCAGGGGCTCTTGGCATGTGAGCTGTTGATGTGTTTTCTTTGCGCTAGCAGTATTGTTCTTATTATTTAGTAGTAGTAGTAGTAGTTGTAGGAGGAATAGTGTTGTAATACTAGGAGTAGTAGTAGTAGTAGTAGTAGTAGTAGTAGTAGTAGTAGTAGTAGTAGTAGTAGTAGTAGTAGTAGTAGTAGTAGTAGTAGTAGTAGTAGTAGTGTAGTAGTAGTAGTAGTAGTAGCAGTAGTAGTAGTAGTAGTAGTAGTAGTAGTAGCAGTAGTAATAGTATTACGTACTATTGTTTTTATTATCATGAACATCATCATTATCAGCTTTTCATTGTCCTTATAATTGTCATTTGTTTCGTCATTCTTATTCTTATTACTATTATTGATAATATGTATGTTGGGGGGGGGGGGGGTTCAATGGGGTCAAAATACCCCCTTACAAGGAAGTTGGTTTTAAGGTGTGTGTGTGTGTGTGTGTGTGTTTGTTCGTTCGTTTGTTTATTTGTTTTTGTTTGTTTGTTTGTGTGTTTGAGTAAAGAAAAGCAAAGAATAGCACCAACTGTTTTTGTTTTTGCTTATTGTGCGTTTGATTAATTTGTTGGGGAAGGGGGTGCCACAGACACTCGTTTGGCTCTTGTAGGCAGCCTTTACCAGTGTGGCAACACCTCAACCGAAAAAAACTTCTAGGAACAAGTGGGACCAAGCATGGCTGGCGTCCATCGCCCGCAAGCTCAGTCCTTGAGACCCCGGCTGCAGGGGTTGTGGTGCAAGTACAGGCACTGCACGTTGGGCATATTCTGGGCCCAGAAGGCCAGTAAACCTGGGTGCAACCAGGCATTCTCATACAAACAAATCGTGCTTTTTTTTTCTGGCAAGGGCATCCTGTTTGATGCTTTGCCGGGAAAGATGATAATTCATTTACTGTCCGCATGGCGAAGCCAACTTCTATTTCTAGGCAACCAACGAAATCAATGATCCAGTGAAAAACAGGGTCGTCCGCGCCAGCAACACGAATTGGACAGGTGAGCAACTATCGCCATCCTCGAAGTAGTTGCAGCTCACGTCCACACTCCTGAGGGAAGCGAGCCCAGCCACTTCTGTAATGCTGCTTTTGGTTTCCTTCGAAGAACTTGCAGCTGCTAAACCTGCATTCAAAGTGATATCTTCAAAACTACCGATGAAACGGTGGCTTCAAGCAAAGTCTCGAAACCCTTTCAGAGCTTGGGATAAAGAAACCACACCCCAAAAAGCCACAACTGAAAACTCCTCAATATATGCCACCCTCCTTTTGGGGGGAGGGGTGGTCGGGGTCCAATTCGATGTTTTAGTATTCTCAATGAAGGGAAAAATGGGTTACCATAAATGGAGATCAAGGAATTACCTCGCTCCCCCTATTTAATATTGGGTCTGGAGGCAAAATCCAGGAACAAATCCTAAAGAAAAACACGCAAAAATTGCAAACACTAGCCCTCCTTTCATATTTAAGAGCGTGGGGATCTCGAAATGACAACGACGTTCCCTCTGCCTCAGGGTGGGCCGTTCTGCCAGCCCTCGCAGCTGGGAAGCATCCTCGAACTTGTTGGCGGACAGGTTCAGGGTGTCCAGGCGCTGGAGGCTCCCCAGCCCTGCAAACTCGTTTTGTGTTTTGGGTGGAGTTAATTTGAGAACCTTGTAAAAAAACATTAAAAATCCTTCCTTTTTTTGGTTTTGCCCGATTTGGGACCAAAGTGTTGCTTTTTAGGCCCATCGAGTTTCCTGTAAACATGATGCGTGTCTTTGTGGGCCCCATTTTCTGCAGATGCCATACTTGAAGCCTTGTACCGAAAGCCATGTCACGAATCAAACGGCTAAACATTGTTGTTGGGGCTGTCATCCACTAAACTTCAACTACAAGGTCAGCTCGGTGGCAGGCGCCTGGGTGAAATGTGTGGTTGCTGCGTGTTTGCCAGAAGAGTTTCAGCTTCAGGCTGCGAACCCTATTTTGGACAATGTCAAAAACTACTTGTTTTGGACGTGAGAAGCTGCTTTTTGCCTTTCCCGCAAGCCCAAACCAAGTGTAAGCCTCTTTCGGGCAGCTCTGAAGCTTTCGGAGCTCTTCCAAAAACTTATCCGGCGCCGTGTTCATCAAGTATTTTCGCCAGATCCATTGGTAGCAGCGTTTTAGAGACATGCAAACACCTCGTAGATCCTTGCGGAAGATCCACTGCGATGGAAGAGGAATAGATTTGTAAACAGGGAGATGACCACAGTATGAAATATAAGGCAGTGTTTGTTCCTTGAAGGATCAAATGATGCGATCTTCCACAATCAGCACAGCGATGGCTCCTTTTTACACTGGTGCTACAGGTAATGAGCTATACACCAGGCCTTGAGCCATGCATACAAGAGGTTGCTGCTTCATGAGTCAGAATCACAGAACAAAACAAGACCCCCGCCCCGAAGAATCAATGTCCGGAAAGGGAGTCTGGAAACTTGTGTACTCGAGGGCACGTGCATTATTACCCCCCCCCCCCGAAGACGCAAAAGCACAAAACGACCAGGCGCCCCATGCCGAGCTGAGCAACTACAAGGGTTGTGACTGACGCTCACGTTATTGTAGACCACAGTCAACAGTGGTGGACCAATGATTACCTCACCACTTAACATGGATCCGCCTTGTATCACAGAAAACCGTCCAACACATTGGGTTTTGGACGGTTTTCTGTGATACAAGGCGGGTCCATGTTAAGTGGTGAGGTAATCATTGGTCCACCACTGTTGACTGTGGTCTACAATAAAGTAAAGGTATTACGAACCCACAAGCGATTAAAAAGAGCGCCCGCTTTTGTTGAGGACCCTAGAAGGCAAACGTGTTTTCCTTCTTGTCCGATCCCAAGCAACCACATGTGCGTGGGCTTGTCTCTTGTGAGGGGCACAAAAACGGTAGGTGTCCTTCGGGTTTTCCATTTAAAGCTAGCATAAACTACCCAAACATGTGTTCCAACCGCAAAAAAAACGCTAGAAAAGCCTCTGGCTTTCCAGTCCTTCAACCTCACAGATGCTGTTGTGCGAGAGGTTGAGATACTGCAACTCCCGCAGCGGCTCCAAGTTCTCGATTCGCCGGATGCAGTTGGATTGCAAGTAGAGGGACACCAACTGAGGCATGCCCTGGCAAAGGTCATGCCAAAACTTGGTTGCTTTCTGCTCCCCTTCTAAATGTTTAACTTTCAGTTGCTAAATGGAAAACCCTTTAGTTGGCAACAAGTTAAAGTCCTAACATCCAAGCAAAATGCACCCAAGAAAAGGCGGCTCCCTGCTAATGACTAGAAACAGGAACCCATCCAAATGGAGTTGTTCGTGCCGGTCCTTGCAACATTAGCCAACTCCCAAGATTACCCTAAAGGAGAAAGACCTGTTGTTTAAAGAGCGGCAACATACTATCAGAAGGCAAATAATTGAAAAGGCAAGCTAAGTGTGGCAATGTACGTCTGCTTGAAACGTCAGACCATTTTCGCTGTTTCTCGCAAAGATCTGCCTCCAAGTTCTCAATCTTGCTGATGCCGTTGCATTCCAGGAAGAGTGACCGCACATTGCCTATGCGACTTCAACAGCGGCTGGTGACGTCTCACTTGCAAACAGCTTCACGCAAAAAGGGCACCCAGATACCAAGAATTGAATCCCTAATTATTGCACGTACGAAACAAAACTAGAGGACGATTGGCGGCGAGCGTGTCTGCACGCGGCGATGCTCAATGTGTATGGTCACATGAGAGCTCCATCTCATCGTCCTACGAGAGGAAACATGGCAGTGCTCGATCCCATATATTTGCATCCGTTAAAACAAGAAGAGTAAAGCTCGTAAAGCTCGAAACGAATTACAAGCAAAAGGAAAAGCAATCATTTGCAAAGCTTACACGACGGCCACAGTTTCTGCAAAGCACGCTCGCGCAACTTGGCTCTGTGCAAGATGGCTCTGCGCAGCTTGGCACTGTGAAAGTTGGCTCTACGCAAGCTACTTTTCGCGACTGGCTCTGCGCAACTGGCTCTGTGCAAGTTGCTCTGCACGAGTCTGCTCGGCGCAATGTGCTTTGCACGAACTGCGCCGCGCGATTTCTCACGAAAGTGGTCTGCGCAAGCTGCATTGTTCCAGGCTGCTGGGCGCAAGTTGCTCTCTGCAAGCTGCTGCACGCAAGTGCTCTGTGCAAGTTGCTCTGCGCAAGTGCTCTGAGCAAGTTGCTCTGCGCAAGTGCTCTGCGCCAGTTGGTTCGTGCAAGCGCTTTGCGCATGTGCTCTGTGCAAGTTGGTCTGTGCAAGTTGCTCTGCGCAAGTGCTTTGTGCAAGTGCTCTGTGCAAGTTGCTCTGTGCAAGTTGCTCTGCGCAAGTGACTCTGCGCAAGTTGCTCTAAGTCAAGTGCTGCCGGAGCTGTGGGAATGTACTTTGCGTACTATTTTTGTACTTAAAAGTTGCGATTTTCCAGCCGGAGCTGCGGGAGTGTGCTCCGCGTACTACGTTTGTACTTAAAAGTTGCGATTTTCCAGCCGGAGCTGCAGGAGCACGCTCCGCATACTACGATTGTACTTAAAAGCTGCGATTTTCAAGCCGGAGCTGCCGCGGACCAGAGGGAATCGAACCCGCGACCGCGGGATTGCGAAAGCAGGCGCGCAAACCACGAGACAACTTCCAAAGGCCATTTCGTGAGCAACAAAAACGCACGGCACCGCTTCGACACGCACGATCTCCGCAGAGGGCTCGCCGAGACTTAATTAGAAGAATTCGCACGGCGCCACAGCGAGAGCGCTTCGACACGCACGATCCCCGCAGAGGGTTCATCCGGGAATATCAAAAACGCAAAAAAACCTCGAGTTTTTGCACCTCGACCACGCCGATGCCCGCAGAGGGTCGCGCGCGCCCGAGTTTTTGCACCTCGACCACGCCGATCCCTGCAGAGGGTCGGACAATAACGCAAAAAACCTCGAGTTTTTGCACCTCGACCACGCCAATCCCCGCATAAAATCGCATTCCCGATCGAGCAACATCCCCACCCCCCGCCAAGAAAGAGATGCTTAATACCGAGCTCTCTCTCTTGCTTGCCCGCGTGTTGAGTACTTAACCTAACTTACTTAACCTAGCTTACACAGCTGCTAACGCCGAGCCTCAACACCTAGCTTAGCTTAGCCCTATGCACCTAGCTCTATGCACTCGGCTCTATGCACCTGGCGCGATGCACTTGGCTCTTTGCACTTGGCTCTGTGCATTAGCTCTGTGCACTTGGCTCCTTGCACCTCGCTCTTTGCACTTCGCTCTGAGCACTTGGCTCTATGCGCTTGGCCCTTTGCACTTGGCTCTGCGCAAGTAACTCTATGCTGGTGACTCCATGCTGGTGACTCTGTGCAAGTATCTCCATTCTGGTGACACTGCGCAAGTATCTCCATGCTGGTATCTCCATGCTGGTGACTCTGTGCAAGTATCTCCATGCTGGTAACTCTGTGCAAGCTACTCTGTGCTAGTAACTCTGCGCAAGTAACTCTATGCTGGTGACTCCATGCTGGTGACTCTGTGCAAGTATCTCCATTCTGGTCACTCTGTGCAAGTATCTCCATGCTGGTATCTGCATGCTGGTGACTCTGTGCAAGTATCTCCATGCTGGTAACTCTGTGCAAGCTACTCTGTGCTAGTAACTCTGCACAAGTATCTCCATGCTGGTATCTCCATGCTGGTGACTCTGTGCAAGCTACTCTGCGCAAGCTACTCTGCGCAAGTTGACCAAGAGCTCCGCACGGAAGAACCCTTTGCAATGCTTTCGGGGGAAAAAAACAAATACTTTCGAAATACCTAGTGAAGCAACAAACATGAGCAGTGGAGTCGCAGTAGGCATCAAGGCCCTCAATCTTGCGGAAGCCCTTGTAGTGCAAAATCAGCACCTCGTTGAGGTCCGGCGTTTCGAAGCCCCGGTTCTCCAGGCAACTCTTCCGAAGCAGCGCTGCCGTGATCCTGGGGATGCCAGGATCCGCATGTGTCTCCATGGCTCCGAGACGGAAGACACCAAAGGGGATCGCTCCAAACCGTGGACTAACATACAGACCCTAGAGTCGGCCCTAGAGTCTGATTTTTGTTCTGCACTTGGAGTAGCATAAAAAACCACTAGAGTCTGTGTACTCTAGGCTGGGTGACTTCATGACATGCTTTTGTGCGTACCACTCCAGTGAGTGCATCTTGGTGTAGGGCACCACATAAAGCTGGTACTGGGTTGAGCCAAAAACAGCGCAGATCAAAGACGCGTGTCAGGAACAAAATTATCCAAACAAAGCGCAACAAGCTTTGAAGCCAATGACGCTCCGTTTTATACATCTGGCCCACGGGCTGAACACAATGCCCGGTTAAATTATTGGGAAAGCCTTGCCGTGATACCCTACAAACAGTGGCTGTTTGGAGAAATTAGAGGGGCAAGGGTTGCACTGACACCTGGTAAATCTTTTGCTCGCCGGTAGATCTATGCTGGTGCACCTCCGGCTGTAAAACCCTGCAGGTCCGGCCTGGCGCGGCCACCGTCTTCGCCTGCCGCACTGGGCCTTTTGTAAGATGAAAGTCATCTAGGTCCTCCAGTAGAGAGGTTAGAATAAGTTGGTACTAACTTTTTGTCTGTAGTCTATTCTAGTAGGGGAACCCTCCCCAAAAAAGGGGTAAAAGGGCACTACTGGGGGACCTAGTCATTCTTTGGACACAAACATGCAAGCTGGAGACCGTGCTCGGCATTTCAGAAGCGTCCCCAGCTTGACTGCGGCTCATGTTCCTGGTCTGGCTGTGCTAGAAGTCTCAACACATAGTTGGCTGTGGGTCAAAACCCTGTACCCCTGGTGAACATCAAAATAGGTGGCACACGGGTGTTCATCCGCCCCAAAATGAAGCCATAGGTTAATTATGACCCACGGCCAGTTGTGCACAGTGGAATGGCGATCAATTGCAGTCACAATGCCTCTTAGGCTTTACACAACAGCAGTTCAGACCTGAAACTGGCTGCCAAGCTACTGACATGATGCAACTGGGGTTGTTCTAAAGCCAAGCGAAGCCCAATAAAACCCATTTTTAGGAGTCCTGCATGTTGAGACGCAACGGTTTCAGGCAAGTAGCCTTGCACGCACGAGTAGTACACAGTGCACAATCCCAACGCCGTGTTTGTCACGTTTCCCTCAGTAGAAGCCATCAAGCCTGTCCAAAAACTCTTGCTCAAGGATGTGAATCAGGCAACCCGCTGTTTGTTGTGACCATGGCTCGTTTTTTATACTAAGACTGCAAGAAAGGGTTACCAAGTCATGGATAGTCACGGCCACTGGATGAAACTTGGGCCACGCCGCGAATCCAATGCAACTGCCTGTAGGTCAAAATTAAGTACCCAAAATGGAATCCTGTAAATGGAAACATGGACTAAACCCTGTGGTCCCCTAGCTTAATTTTGACCCACACCCAACTTACTCTCCCCGGCCATTCTGCCTTTGGCGCAAGCTTGGGCATGACCGCGGGCGACATAGTCGTCTCGCCTGGCAGTGCAAAGCCCTCTCAACAAATGGGTATGTGTCAAAGCTGGGGGACCCCGAAAAACGCACCCCTCACCACACCAGACCCAAACAAGTCTTGGCTGTTTCCTGGAAGGAGTCAAATCGGACCCCTCCATCTGCATTTCAGCGGCCAGCATCCACCGCCTCCTTTGGGTCTCATCCGGCTGGCGTCAGACCTCAGCTTGGAACGTTGGCTCCGGTAGGTCGTGTTCTCTTGATCTTTGCGGCCCAGTTCAGCTTGGCGTTGTTCGGTTCCTGTTGTTGGGTCAACTCTTGGAAGAAGCCGCAATCAGGAAGCCATCACCTCAAGCCAGCCGGCGCAAATGCCACACCATTCTCCCCTACAGCGATTTCGTGTGTGTGTTTATAATTTAAGATCAACCAGATTTCGGGCACTTGCTATGTCATGAAACAGCCATACTATCTTATTCTTCAACACTGACTTGATTAACATGAACCACCTCATGCTGCAATCACCCATGTACATTGTCTCGTCCGGTGCACAACCAAAACAAACTTATGCCTCCAACGAACCGGCTTCACTTCAGGTATGACTTTAAGACAAAACACTTTTGCCCACGCTTGACTCTCACTCCAACAAGCCAATGTAGAAAGGAACGTCTGTTGAAAGGACATGTTCTCATTTTCCCCCCACCAGAGGCCCACGTCGCTGAAGATATTCCCAACTCAGCAGCCAGGCGTCACTGGCGACACCGTCACCGGCGCCTTGAGCGCCGTTGCCTCCCCTGGCAGGTGGTTCGCGTGGCCGCGGTTTGCGTGGCGTGTCACAGACCGCGGTTGGTGAGCCCAAGTGGAACCTCTCCCGTTTCGCGGCAACACGACATCACCGCAATGCAAACCGCTTGAAACAACCCGTGATTGAAATGAAGACGGGCATCTCCAAATTGGAGCCTTGTTGGGTTGGGGTTGAAAGGGAAGCCAACAAAACACCTGACATGCGTAGGGATTCCCCAATTTGAGCAACAATTGTCAAACGTTGCCTTTGCCGCAGGAAAGGCTCTGAGATCATCTCTTCTTCTACACATTGGATCAAAGTTAATCTAGTTTCTCTTGGGAAACTAGCTGCGAAGTCACACTCTCGTGACTCGTTTTGGAGTTATTTGGGGCAGCATGAACTCCAGCCTCTTTGAGAAACCCTCCCATGTTCTTCGACCGTGACGCCCAGTCTGGCCCGCCTCCAGGCACGCCAGGCTTCCTGGCAAGCCGAGGCATGGATCCCGCGTTCCTTTTGGTAAGGGTGGGAAACCCAAAGTTGAAATTCAATTTGCTGAATGTGTTCCTGGCGTGCAACAAGAGCGGATGCAAGTGCAAGACTCAGTAAACATACCTGGTCTAAAAGTTCCACTATGATGATACAGGATAGTGAAGGCTTCAGTGATCACAAACCCACCAAAACTGTACTCTTTAGCAGCTGCAAGACCTCCGTCACATCCCGGCTGGCTGATTTTCGACACGGTGGTACTCCGTGAGACAAGATCTGAGGGTTGCTCTGCCCTGACTAAGATGGTTGTGTAACTGCCATGATTTTGCCTTCTGACATGGCCCTTCTAAAAGAACATCATCATCAGTCACCCCTAGTGATTTTAGTGGACGGGAGAAAAGGATGTGTCCATGTCCGCCCAAAACAAAAACACGACAGAAACCGAGCTGAGCAACCCAAACTTCTCCAAACAAGCCCAGCGGCCTGAACGCGGCAGGCACTTCGCCCTTGCCTGAAATGCAACCAGGAAAGACGGGCTGCACATTTCCACACAAACACATATTCACTTCAAGAATGAGCAATTGGTAAGGTCAGTTGCTTGCCATGTTCCTCGTCGCCAAGAACTAATCGCGCCTGACAAAGGCCCGCTCAGGCTCAACAGTTGTGACTGGCAGGATACTCGATGGGTTATTTGCAATAGTGCCGAACAAAACATGGAAAAATATCAGCCATGTGCCACCTTGCATGTGGGCTCCGGCCGTCTGACTTCCGACGGATCGTGCCGACGTGTGGGGCTGCCCATCACTCTGTAGAATTCAAATTCACGGTCGGTCAGAAGTTGATTCATGTCGCAAAGGGACCTGAACCAAATGCTGTTTTTGCTCTTGGCTTCCCTTGAAACCGATGCTGTATTGGATGCAAGAAGCACGACAGCGCCAGTACGCCAAAACTGGCTGAAAAGCAATAAACCCTCACCCAACGCCGTCATCCAGGATGCATTGTCAGTTGTGTGGATCTGGTCTTCCAACTGGCCAGTTGCATCTTCCTTCATCTCGTCAGAACTATATTTCACGAGGGTCCGGATTGCCTTGAAATCCTTTCAATGCCGGACATCTAGACCAAGCCTCTATGGTGTAAACTGACAGCTTTATCGGCGACCAGCAAAATACAAGCATGGTCCTGAATATGAACGAACGGCGTGCCTTGGACTCACTTGGCTCTCATTTCAAGGTCACCTTGAGCGGACAAGTTCCGGAAATCGCCAACATCCGAACGAAAATTCTTCCCAGGGTTTCTTGCACCTCCAGACCTAAATTGATGGCCGGAATTTTCCGGACGGCTTCTTTCCGCCAGCTGCGCCGTCCAAAAACGCGCCCAGCGCTCCGAGGCTTCAAACCCACCAGGCCTTTAGCCTCTTCAGCGGGCCTAGCGCCAGAGCATCACAGGAACCAAACGCACGCTGAGGTGTAAAATGAAAAAGACAAGAGAAGTTCAAACATATTCATCCCGGCACCACTTGCGGTTGCTTTTCATGTTTTAAGCACTCTTGACAAAAACAAACAAGAATGAAAGGAACGGCATAGGGTCTGAAAGGCATACATAGCACAAGTCGCTGCGTGCTCTTGGAAAGGAACACGGATGTCTGGAGCTTCCACGAGCTGCATGTTAAAGTGCGCTGCTGGAGATGAACAACAAACCAAAGTTTCTGACCTCTCAGATTCAGTAATGTCGGTGTTGAATTTCATATCTCTGCTGCAAGCAACAAACCGGTCCAACGAGGCGATCGTGCTGGAGCCGGCGATTGAGTGACAATCACTTTTATCTGTATTCTCTGTCAAGGCACAACAAGCAACATCGCAACATGATGTCTCAACGTATTGATTCGAGACGTAAGCAATGACATAAACCCCCACGGATCGGCAACAACTTGACAGCGGCAAGTTTGAGACATTCATGTTCCGCTGGGCCGCGGAACCTAGATTGAACAGACACCTGTTCAGTGGAAACAAGGCGCAAGCCATGAGGACAACCGTCCTGCGGCGGCAAGAGGACGCCAAGCAGGGGGATTTTTTGGGTTGAAGGCCGTTTTTGAGATGGCGTCGAAAAGGCCAGGCAATGTGAAACCAACTCATTGCCACAGGTTGTCATTCCCAGTGTGGAGCCTCGAAGATCAGGTCAGTTTCATTGGGCGAAACAGCGAAACCTGAAAGCCTGAAACATTGTCATGGGGAGTAACTTGACTGTCCGTCATTCTTAAGCGATTGACTGTTTTTGGGCAGACTTTATCACTTTCAAGATCCTGTCAGAATCCGCAACCGTGCCCCAACAAATCCCAGAAAATCCCGCGAAACCCCAAGTTGGACCCACCCAAAACCTCTGGCAGCGCCTAACCCTTCCCGGAACGCTGAGGGCAGAGCTCATGCCAATCCTGGAGAGAAATCGGGAGGGTGTAACGGTTACCATTCGAGTGGTCACGTACCATTCGGTTACCATTCGAGCGTCCCCTTAAAGACCCGTGTAGACATATATATATATATATAAATATATCGACAGACCCATACTTGCGTGTGAAGGGCCAAGTTTGTAAGTTGTTGGTAACCTCCTTCCCGCCCGAACTTGTGGGCACGAGTGTTCTTCTCAAACCAGAGTCCAAAATCTGAGACACTCCTCAACTATAGATTCCATTACAACGAGAGTGGCTCCTATTGGTGTCCAAAACTTGACGAAGCCCGGAGTAAGGCACAGCGAATGAAGGCGGTCCTGCCATTGGCCAGCGCCCCACCACTCGCCTGGGGTCTGGGCGGTTTTCGCCTAGTTAACTTAAGAGGTCGTTTCCCATAGCAAAGCAGTGGCGAATAGTGAAATGGGAGGTGACAAGTAGGAGGTTTCCTGGGATCCGAGCTTGTGATAAGTGAATTCTTTTGAGGGAGGTGGCAACCAAGCAATGCTCCAAAAGACTCCGCATGAATCAGCCAAACTGACAAAAGGTCTGTGTGCAGCCGTTTCATTTGCACACCAATTCTTGCAAGGACAACAATGTTCTCAGGACCGAAATGCAAGACGCAACCCCTGAAAGCTTGTCCGGAAATGATAATCATCGGGGGTGTCAGTCATTAAAACAAAACAACATACCAACGTGTACCAGCACACAAGCTCCGCAAACTTTATGGCTGGGTGAATCAAACCTCCTTGAATCAAAAACAGGCAACCCGCGTCCAGCACCTTCCAGTCTCCTACGTTCAGTATCTGCGGAGTCTAAACCACAGACGGGTGGCAACTATAGGACTTGTACCGTGAGCACATACTTGCACACAAATAAATATTGAAATCGATCACTCTGCCCAGACACAATTCTTTCAGTTTAAACTTCTAGGACCAACACTTCAAACACATTCTAACCTTTGTTGCCCCCATTGGTTTGGGCAAACACCAACTGGAAACAAGCCATCCTGAGTGAAGAACCATCACGACGACGAGGGACCTCCTTCTGCCCCTAAGCTCGCTATCAGTGACACCGTCATGACTCTCAACTTCCAAGTGGTCAGCAACCAATCGATTCGAATCAGCTTCCGACTTCGGCAGCAAAGTCGGAACGATCACGACAATAAGTACAGCAAATTTGTTCTCCCGTACCCTCTTACCCTTGTGGGTTTGATGCACATGGTGTGATGCACATGCTCCCTGTACTGAAAGCAAGGAAAGGCAAGGGAATCCGGCCTCCCCAAGAGGCATCGCCCCAGGCACCTGGCTCAGCGCAGCAGGTGAGAAGGGGGGCCACAAATAGTTCCTTTGCGAAACCCCGTAACCAGCGCCAGAATGATCAGTTTCCTTGGGTTTCCCAAAACAATGCATTTCAACGGACCCTCGCTTTTCGCACATGTAACGGAAAAAGGGCCAAATCTGCTGCAGGTGCACAATGTCCTTGAGAATTGGCCTAAAGTATCTCTGTGTTGGGGGTGTCTGTGTGGGGCCAAATGCGCGGAGGTCCGGGTCTCGGCGTCTGCATGGCCATGCCAAAGCCAGTTAGATATACGGATATGCGCGGGTCGGGGTCTGGGTGTCTTTGATACACAGGTCCGGGTCTGGGTGTCTGTGTTGGGCCAAATGCACGGAGGTCCGGGTCTGAGTGTTTGCCTAGGGGCACACGCGGCAAAGCTCAAGGAAGCTTTAAAAAAGCAGGGGCCAAAAAGCTTGAAAGAAAAAACGTCCAAACCATCGTGTCCGAGCCTCCGCCCCACATAAGTCGCAAGGGACCTGGGTCGAGCCCATGGCTGTGCTCGGGGAAAGCGTGAGAATCTCATGTGGGAAAGCAACGGCAAAGCTCGCCGCTCTCCACTGGCAACAGGCCCGTACCTTCTCAAAGTATTCAAGCATTGCTGGCCGTGCAAACGAGGTACAGCCAGGCTTGCATCAATGACTTGGCACCCTTTTTCGCCACTGAACCTTTGCGTAGCGTTTGCAATTGTCCTGCGTGTTTGTCGACAGCCCATGTTCCAGCAGCGAGCCGTCCCTGGTGTTTGTGTGGAATATATATATATATATCATGCGATACGTAAATCTATATATATATATATATTATATATATATACATGTATAACAGTCTAACAATGACAATGACAATAACAATGATAGTAATAACAATAAGGATAACAATACCCATATCAATACTCAAATAAAGGTCAACAAAACAATCAAATATTAATGATAATAACAATAATAACAATACTAACAATAACAATAACAATAATAAAGATACTAATAATCACACTAACAATGACAATAGTAATCATAATAACAATAACAATTATCATAATATTATTAATACCGACAACAGTGGCATATGTATATACATATATTATTTTCGGCCTTGATGCATGTTCATCTACTTTCTGCTGACATCGACATCATAGATCCTGTGCCAGGGGTCCTATATTCATTCACTTGGCAAGAACTGGCCTCATGCCTACCCAAGCTGCACCACTTAGTGGTTGGTGGGACGTGAAGTGGTTGGACGGGCAGCTTAGCGGGTGCATTTTACCCGGCAAGCTTATTGCCGTATTGCCCCCACAAAACAAAAAAAGTCAGAAGTTGATCGGCGTAAGGCATGAGGTACCTTTATCCCCTTGTCGCGGGCCGAGAAATGGCTGGCCATTGACCAAGCTAAGTCAATTCCGCAAGCACTTGGGCCCTTCCTCTTGCTCCCATGTTCTAATACGAAAAGTGATGGAACACGTGCAAAGCCAGCTGTTCCTTGTGGCCCATGGCATGGGATCGACAGTTGGCCCATAAAGCCAAAGGGCCATACCTTCTGGGCGTTCGAATTGCCTTCAACAGCCCCCCCTGAATGTGTAGGATTGCTTGCAACTTCAGACATATAGGGGCAAGGCAGGCAAGCCCAGCAGATCCATTGGAAGCGCAACCCTTTAACAAATGTTGATATATACATATATATGGGGGTTGTTCAAAATAAAAGTTCCTGGAAACGGCCCTTTCGCCGGCCTTTCGCGGTCCTTTCGCGGCCCCATGTTTTCCTTTCGCGGTGACAATCCAGTCCTGAAAAACTTGTTTCCGAGCCCCAACGAGGGTTCTACCATGTATTCGTTATGTTTCAAGTCCTTTCGCGTTCCTTTCGCCGGCCTTTCGCGATGCAGTGTTTCCTTTCGCGCTAGACCTTCACCTCCCTTTACTTAATTTTAAGACTGGCAATTCAGAACGACTCCCATATATACCAGCCTATGGATATGCTGATCATGCAAAGGTATAGTGGTCCTGGAGCTATTTCCCACAGTTGTTCTTGATGTGTACGTGTCTACATATCATGCTAAGCGCATTGGGTGTGATGTTTTGAAATGTAATGTGGACCCCGCATTAATCAACCTCAGTTTATTAATAGGAGGGGTGTCCATTTCTGGGTTTAGTGGGGAATCAAACCACTTTTGGAGGGGCCCCAACCCCTGATCAAAAACTGGGGCTGATTCATATGGGGTGAACATTAAAGCGGAAGGCATCGAGAGGAAGCTTGACAAGTTTGCCACTGGCCATCTCCAACTTAAACTCAGTCGCCCGAGGGACCTGGAAACAAACCTTTTGTGACCTTTACTAAAAATGGACCAACATGGGAAACCAAAAGGTCAAAAGGCCGATTTGAGTTGGACAAGTGAGTAGAAGGAAGCAGGGGCCGCCAAAAGCATTCGTGGGTAGCAAAAGTGAGACCTCGCTTGACGCCATGGCAGGGAAGAAAAGACTGCGACTTCCTGGGTACCTCAAGGGACTGGCTGACTGGCTCACTCGACCATGTGCAGCTGTTCTTGTTGGTTTAGTCCCCCTGCCCCCTCAAACCTCAGTATCTACACCTGCTGCTTCCCACCAAAAGGTCTTCCGAAAAGGCTGAAGTCCGGCGACTCGCTCGCTGAGTCACCCATCTTTGTTGCAGCCAAGGGGTGGCTGAGATTCAGATGAATCCAACCAGACTTCCGGTTCTGGCGACCCAATCTCCCCACTGAGGCGCACACGGCGTGCTCTGAATCGAGGCCCAGAAGCAGGTGGGTCTAGAAATAACGATGTGCCGCAATGGCGATAAAACTGTGACCATGCAAAGACATCAAGCTAGATTTTGACACCTCTCCCCAGGATCTTGCTGACTTGAAGCAGGTGGGCAGGTGAACCGGGTGAACTGTTGGCCGCGCGGTGGGCCGTGCGTCATCCTGAAGTTTCAAGGGTTTCTGCTCATGCGATTGGTCCCAAGCAGCTCGATTTATTCCCAAGTGAAGAGCCGCCCCGATTGAGGACTTTCAATTTGATTTAGCCAACTTGCGGTTGGTTTCATTTGCGATCACCACCCAACAATACAGCGGATGACTGGTGACCGCGGTTTAAAAGCTTGCCAGATCTCATGCTTGTGCGATAGGTTGAGCCGAATGGCTGAAGCGCCAATACACCTTGCACCTACACCACTAGCACACAAACACAAAACACACAAAGCTAGATCATGAAGGGCGCTGAATGGGCTGCACATTCCTTGCAGGATCTGCAGAACGCATATTGAGCCAGAACCCGACAAGGCATGGAGCAAGTTGAAAGGGCCACCCTCTAGTTTGAGCATGTCTAAATATCTAAAGCACAACGGTTCAACCACCTGTTTGTTGGCCTCCAATTTAAGGGGATCAAAGACTGGTTATTTAAACACATTGGCTGGGCCCATGGTTGTAACTTAGGCCCTGCAGCATCTATGCAAAGGACATCTCCATCATCTTCCAGGGTTCCAAATTTTGTGATCAGGGCAGAAGAAACAGCAGGACAAGTGAAAGCAATGCACCGAGCCAAACCGAACGAACGACCAAACGACTGAAACCGACTGGGAGACTCACAAATCACAAACCTGCAAATATCACAAACTGCGCGCCAAACCTAAATATAGGGAAAAACAACAAACACCGGGCCCATAAAATGATTGAGCAAGCCTGCTTGGGGCAAGCTCAGACCAAGCTCCAAAGGCGCGTTTCTCGTCCCAAATCGTAGCTGCTGAGGGGGTTAGGCTGACGGCATATCAGAAACTTGGACTGTGAGGACCCTGCAAAGGCCCCTCTCCGATATGCAACAAATAAGCCCCTTTTCGCTGCTACCGCTGGAAACCTGCACTCAAGTCCAGAGACTGATATTTTGGTGCAGCTTTGCCGCACGTGTTCTCTCGAAAGTGTTGGACCTTTTGGGTGTTCAAACGGAAACTAGCCATTTCCAGAGGGGGACGCTTTCCAAGCCATGCTTCAGTGACTGCTTGTCCACACATCCCCTCCGACTTGCAAGCTGCGTGCATGCAGCAACGGCAAGCATTTCAGAACGGCAGCTGGGCACCCCGCCCACAGGTTCATTTCGGACAAACCAAGCAAGCACAGCCCACATTTGGCAGGAATGCCCGCTGTCTCAAAGCCAATCGAGATTCGCTTGAATCTGGCTGCTGTCGCAGCCAAAACCAACCGCGCCCCATGTCACCACAGAGCCGTCGGCCAGGATGGCAGCAAAAGCAGCTGCAGTTGCTTGAATCTGCTGGACACTCACTAACAGATCTTGCACATGGCTGCTGTCACCACCGTTTTCAGGATGGCCCCATGTCACCACGGAGCCGTCGTCCATGATGGCAGCAAAAGCATGCTTGGTTGACTGGATCCGCTGGACCCGCACCAACTGCTCTCGAACCTGGCTGCTGTCACCACCATAGCTAGGATGGCCCCACGCTACCACAGAGCCATCGTCCAGGATGGAAGCAAAAGCGCGAGCAGTTGCTTGGATCTGCTGGACCCGCGCCAGCTGCTTTCGCACCTGGCTGCTGTCACCGCCCCAGTCAGGATGGCCCCAAGTCACTACAAAGCCGTCCTCTAGGATGGCAGCAAAAGCGTAGTCAGTTGCTTGGATGTGCTGGACCCGCACCAACTGCTCTTGCACCTGGCTGCTGTCACCGCCCCAGCCAGGATGGCCCCAAGTCACCACGGAGCCGCTGTCCAGGATGGCAGCAAAAGCCGAGAAAGTTGCTTCGATCTGCTGGACCTGCACCAACTGCTTGCGCACCTTACTGCAATCACCACCGCTGGCAGGATCACCCCAAGTTACCACAGAGCCGTCCTTCAGGCTCGCAGCGAAAGCAGAGCCGCTTGCTTGGATCTGCTGGACCCGCACCAGCTGCTCTCGTACCTGGTTGCTGTTACCGCCAGAGTCTGGATCGCCCCAGGTTACCACAGAGCCGTCCTCCAGGATCGCAGCAAAAGCACAACCATTTGATTGGATCTCCTGGACATGCACCAGCTGCCCTTGCACTGAGCTGGCGTCACCGCCTGCAAAAGACTTGCCCCAAGTCACTACAGAGCCGTCCTCCAGTATGGCAGCGAAAGCATTCGAATTTGCTTGGATGCGCTGGACCCGCACCAACTGCTCTGGCACCTGGCTGCTGTCTTGACCTTCACCTGGATCCCCCCAACAAAGTACGCCGCCTCCAACAACATGAAGCGCGAAAACTCTAGCTGTGGACGCCAGCCTCACTGGCTGAACAATGGCATCAATGCTGTCCCCATCTTGCACGCCCGCTTCACCCAAAGCAGAGTTCAAATCCAGCAGCTGACCCCCGAAAGCGAGCCTCAGAAAGCGTCGCTTCAGCTGCCTTTGCGCCGCGGCCTTCCTCAACAGGCTCCCTTGGAGTCAGCAAAAAAAGATAAACACTGGAACAACCGTTCCATCCAAACCAAAACTTTCCAACCCCCCCCCCCCTTGGCAGGCTCAGCGAACAACTTGCGCTTTTGCAGCTCCTTGCCCAAACATATCATAACCAAATAAAGCAAAATCACACCATCAACCCAAATAGCAAGAACGCCCAGTTTGGGTCAAAGAGCAACCGCGCACGCAATCTCATTGAGGTCCGAAACACTAGCAGGCGCATTTTGCTACGCCAACAGCCTGGTTTAAGCACCCTCCGGCAGCATCCTCTACCCTCTGCAACGCACCCTGCAACAGCAACAGCAGCCTGGAATAGCAGCGCGCCAAAATTATTGGTCACAGCCGACAGCACTTCAACGCCGCCCTGCAACAGCACTCTGCGCAACTCTCAAGTGAAGCCCTCCAGCAATCGGCAATATCAACCTGCGCTAGATTTAGGAACACTCGCCAGTATTCATTAAAGGCACTCTGCAATACCTCCTTACGCAACTATCAGTACCCAAACAGCATCCCAAAACAGCATCTACGCAAGAATTTCCCAAATTGCATGCCTTCTACCACCTTGCCTTCAATTTCGCAAAAACGCACCCGTGCCCGTCACCAGCCCCCAAAACCACCCGCGCCAGCACCAGACCCCCAAAACCACCCGCGCCAACACCCCAAACTGCATGCGCCCTGGCACCCTGCCATCAATCGCAGAAGTGTGCTCGCACCAGCACACCGAAGAGCACCCCAAACATCAGTCCCAGAGCACGCAGAGATCAATCTCGCAAAAATGCGCCCGCGCCATCACCAGCACCTCGCAAACATGCGAGCGCACCATCAGCACCCCAAACAGCACCCCCAAACAGCACCAACCCCCGCACCCCAAACTGCAATCTCGCAAATCACTTTCCCTTCTTTATTAGAAGTTAGAACCCCTATATCTTTCAGCTATCTGAGGAAAAATCGAACTCCTACAGCTTTCAGCCACCTTACAAAAGAAACTGGCAAAGGTACCAAAGGTCCAAATTTGGGTCATGTCTACACAGCAAACACACAAACATCTGCTTCTGTTTCATATTCTATCCCTTTGGGCCGTTGGTCCGAAAAAACCTCCATAAGGCAGAGCTGCACTTCGCGCACGGTCTTCTCTGGTGAAAGCAAAACAGAGCAGCTCTCCCCACTGGGCAGGCACACGCGGACCTCCATGGCTTTGCTGAGGTACAATGATTTGCTGATGCGCCTAACAGGAAAACGGCCACTGGGCGGTCTTGAAAATGGGGGGGCTATTGCGCTCGCTGTTATGATGGACATCAAACCCCCAAAAAAAGAGATACAAACACACGCACACACAACCCGAACTTGATGACAGGAGTAATCAGGTCGAATAGGGAGACAATGGGACCAAGGGGAATCAGGGTAACACGACGAAGCCCACAGTTTGCTTAGCGCTCTTCCAAGAACAAAGGGTTGTTTTCAAAGCCACGGTTCCAACAGCAGTTTATGCACTTCCATGTTTGGTATTGCAAGCGAGGTGCGCTGGCAAGGCCTCGTTCACGGCTCCAAAGCATGACTTCACTGGGTAGGGCCCTGCCAAACTCCCAAGCTACTGTTCACGGCCAACGTGTCTAAAGCACCGCTTCAGCAATCCTAGCACCGACATATCAAGTCCAGCTAATTGTTCTGTTAGCACTTTGATGTGAAGGTGCAGCCATGCTGCCTGTTTGGACAGATACTATACAGCCAAGTTGCAACCATTCTTGGAGGGAAGTGTGCTGGACTGGATGTATCAAAGGAATCTGGTCAAAATGACAAGTATCCATCCCCTCACTTGTTTCCTTCAGGAAGACTTTAGAATTACTAGGTACAGCAGCTATTTCACAGCTAAGCGTACAGCTATCGGTCAGAAGGGTAGCAGCTACGTCTAAACAAATATGCACCTCTGCTTGGACTCGACTGAGTCTCTACGCTTGATTGCCTAAACGTTGCACAACACGGAAATATATGTTTTGGCAGTTTCTCGATATCAAGCCAATCAACCGTATGGATCTTTGAGTCAATTTCCGACAAGACCCACCGCAAGGCCTCCTCACATGCTTGCAAAGCGTGTGCTTAAACGTGGACATCCCTGGTCCTAAATCCGTAATCCACAGTCGGATTCTAAATAAGGGACACTACTATCGTGTGGATCAGGATTGAGGATTGATTTGGAACAGTCAAAGGGCTGCAGGATGTAATGGCAACCTAAGACCAAAGACCTGAGCCCTCAATCCTGAAGCCACCTCTTTGCTAGTCGTGGGCCGGCTTCAACATGGTCCGAAAACCACTGTGTACCGTGCAGATTGGGTCATAAACCGAATCACCCAACCACCGCGCTTTTCCCGAAACGCAAAGCTTTAGCACTCGCGGCCCGGGACTCAGCGGCTCATCTTGGCGCTGTGCATGTTGACCACTGCCTTCACTAATGGCACCTGCGACACAGCCAGCCACGCGCCGGTCTGAGCCACAACAAAAGAATGAATATCTAATATTAAAACAAAAAAATGGTGTATATATACATATATATATATGTGTATATATATATATATGCATATATTGATATATATATATATATGTATAGGCTAAAGGTTAGCTCCTTTCTCTGTCGATATGTTGGAAAAAGGACATGCACATCTGTTCGCTTACTTCCACCAGCTAGACAGAAAACCAAACTTCCAATTGGCCTTTTTGGTCTCAAACCAAACAGCCCCAGCACTTTGAGGAAGAATCCGGATGGTGAGTAAAAATGGAAATGCTCCACTAGTCAGCTTGTGAAATATCGTCAAACTTAATAGTGGCTGGCTCCAATAAAGTGTCTGCTTTCAACTTGGCGTTACAACAAAGTTGCCCTTTCCAAACAAGCCAACAGTGTATCGCGCCGTGCCTTCACTAAGCTCGAATCAGGCACGGCAGCCTTCAACAACCAAACGCATAGATCAAAGGAACATCCAGCGGCCAACACTCTTTCTGTATATATATATATATATATGTATGTGTATGTGTATATATATATATTGCACATTTAGCTGCTGGTGGGCGTGTTCAGCGCCAAAGCCAAACTGTAATGATTGCTTGCAACGGCGGCGGCAGCGGCAGCGGCAGCGGCAGCAGCAGCAGCAGCAGCACCACCACCATCAGCATTCTTACATGTACACAAATCCATGTTTAGGAGGTGCACAGTGAAGAACATTGACCATCGCTCAGATTCAACACAAGCAGCTTTGACCTTTTGAATCATTGTACACTGCTTGCCATAATCAGCAGGCATTTCACTTTAGAACATCGATGACTCGCGCAAACTGAAGATTGCCACAAGCAACACTAACTACGACACCTCTCCTTTCATGGCAAGTTGCTGAAGGCTCCTCGCTAGTGATACCAGTACTTTCATGAGAACACGCTGGTCCCAAACCATCAAATGGCAGTGTGAGAAAACTAGACTCCTCCGAAGTTGGATTCATGCTGCTCGAATCATCGGCGCGTATCACCCGTCTCAGCCGAGCCGCATCCACACTACGGTTGTCGCCCCGCTCCAAACGCAGGCTGCTCACGCCCGAGACCTGCAGCAGCTGAGGTAAGAGTAGATGGCATTCACTCATTTTGTGCTCAACCCTCTTAGTCACCGTCATAGGAAGCTTCGGGGAAGAAGGCATCGCTTTGCCCAAGTTTGAAGACACAAATCGCTTTGCCCAAGCGAGACATTTGGCAGGTGGCCCCCCGCTCTACACACGTGTCCCTATCCCGAAGCATACGACGAATACCACGTTCTTGCTGTACCCTGGGCAACTTCCAAACGAGTTGTGGTTTTTCCCCTATAAACTTGCAGTGCTACATTTTTTGTTGATATGTCAACATCCATACATGTTTGCTGGAGCCGAAACCTAACAACACCACTCAAATGGAAACCGTCTCGGAGCCGCGGGCGCGTCGATCTTGTCGCGAATTCGATCGCCTGAATGGGCTCCGTCTCATCCCCGGTGATCTCCGGCACCTCGATGCTCGTGGCCTTGGCTCCAAAAAAAACAACAACTGGCCTCTGGAATCACCAAGCCCTATGGGTGCTTGGAGTTTACCCCATTCGGGGATGAATCATGAAATTTGCGGGGTGTTTCAGAATCTCATTGCGGGCTCTGTGTGTGTGAGACCTAGACAGAACACGCACCGGCATTGCAATTGGTGGACACTAATCTAGGATGCAAGGAAGGAACAGCATCCAAGATAGAAAGCGACCGAATCAGCCATCTGAGAAGGGATTAACCGGTTTCAAGGTATGAACTGTTCTCAAACATATTGCGCAATGCTGTTTCCACGTGCGTTTCACCAGCTTCCCGTGTCCTGTGGCGGCAATGTTTCAATCGCTCTGAGCCATGAGAAGTGCAGAGTAAGATCCTGGATCGCCTGTGTGGCCTATTGCGGAAATGCACAAGATCAACTTTGCCGAAATTCCCTGGACAGTTCCTGGCCAAGTATACTGAATATATATGATGGTCATTCCATACCCTTGTCGTGCTGAGGAACGTGGTCCCGGCATGAATTGCAAGCACCTATTCGGTGCCAAGGACACACATCATCGATCAAAAAAGAATTGGTCTCCTGAACAAGACCCCCGATTGCCTTATGATGCCCTACGCAGCAACGTGTTTGTTGCCCTCCAACAGCATAACGAAGGATGAGCCCGCCCCGTCTCAGGCCATCACCGAATCAAACTCGATGATGGTGACCCAGTCGCGGATCGTCTGCAAGACGTTGGAGCACACCTCACTTCACATGGCGCTGGGAACAGTGATGCCATTTGTGGACTTCACCGCACAACCTGCCGGATGCGTAGTCTCCCTTGTCCAGAAGAGCAAAGGACAAAGGAAAGAAACGCAAGCGACAAAACAATGTTGAAACGTTGGTATACCAGTGTGAGAACTATCACCACTCTGGTCGGCATTCACTGTGAAGCCAAAAGGCCTGTCTCACCTCAAGTAGCCCAATTCTTAGACTGCCTGTAGTTTCTACACACAGCGTGTCCAAATAGATGGTGTTTAGAGGCACAAAGGGGACAAGACCAATGCTTCCAATCTTTAAAATAAACACACACCCGTTTGGTCAAGTCGAGGCCCTCTAAACTTATATATGTCAAAAAACGACACCACCGGCCCAAGGATTGACACCTCACCTCAGATTCGGTGGACCTGTGGGCCCGGCCGCATCCACTTGGTACCTGGCCGCGGCCTGTTGCTTGGTTCCCTTGGAACGTATTACCTATAGGGACCTGTTGGGGTCAACGGCTTCTTCAGATCCGAGGGCTTGAAGCCTTCGGATCTGAAGATATTCTGCACTTCGGCTCCGGACAAGCTGCACCTGCCCCAAACTTCACAGATTTGATCACAGTAACTATGATTGGTGTGGGCTGTCAGGCAACACAACCTCTCGGACCGGGTCAAAGCAAAGCAAGGCCCTCATATCCAACGCACCGGATGCAGCCATCTGACCGACCCCTGCGCTCCCATCGGCCCCCCAGGGCGCTGATGGCTACATCAGCAATGCAGCATTCCAAGTGTTCCCCGCAGGAACCCGGCCGCCCTTTCTGACATGTCAACCTATTGGCAAAAAGGCCTGCACCTCTCTGCATGAACTCTAATTCACCAACCCATTAGCCTCGGGAACAATAGTCTGCGTATTCCTTATGTAACCAGTATCTATGGAATCGGTGTACGTATATGTATGTATATTTATACACATCGACACATATGTATATATATATATATATCTATAGCACACCCCATTTGTCAGTCATTGGTTAGGTTCAGTACGCAACCCTCCTGGCGCCTAGCTCACACCAAGAGCCAGCCATACAATGCCCAATCAAAGTCTCCCGGGGCGCACTTCTTCAGGGCTCCTGCAGCTTTTGCCAGCAGAATGTTCGGGTTTGTCCTCAGTGCGGCGCTTGCCCATAAGAGCCCAAAACATCAAATTCGTGTAATTCACATGTATAGGAAGTGGGTGTGTTCATGTGTAGAGTGATACAAACTACAACTACCTATATGTTAATTCATATGTATTGAATCCCGTGTATGTATGATATATGTATGCACTCAACCCCCATGAACTACCTGTGTAGCATATGTTGTAGCCAAACAAAGCCAAAACACCTATGTGGTGCGATAAGCAATGTACAACTAACTTTGCTGCAAACCCTTTTTCGAAAGGAATTCTTACAAATTCGGGTCATTCAAATTCATTTATGTTGCAATTGAATCGAATTATTGACTTTAATTAATATCACGCAGAATCAATCTAGATCGTCGATTTTAAGTCGGAATTCAGAGCCTGGCTTGACTCAAGCTGTTGTATGGCTCCGTACAAAGCTCCTCATAACACGCCTTATGAGGCGCCCTCATAACCTGCTTTCAACGCTGCTTGCAAATCTCCTTTGGCTCACTTGAAAAGCTGCTTGTAAGACTTCTTGTAAAACTCCTCCCAAAGCTCCTCAAAAAAGGTGTTTGCTCCTGATAAGGCTTTAAAAAAGGCCCCTCTACAATTCCTTGTAAGGCTTATAAAGTGCCTCAGAAGGCTCCTTGAAGAGCTGCTTAGAAGCCTCCTTATCAAATTGGGTTCTACTTGAAGCTTAGCGTATTTGTAGTTTTCGATCTAACATAGAATTTACCGAGGGAGTAGTTCAACTAACATTACAATTTGTAAATGGTACTTAAAACGGGAATCCCTGTCCAAATATCCTGCTAACTTCGCAACGACTAGTAGTATATACATAGAGCTTCATAGCGACAGAGTTCTTGTTTGGCGCTGCACTTCAAGTAGCACAAGACAACTGCACCGACAAACACCACACACACACACAAACAACACTAACAACTCGAGAAACCAAAGACACACCGATACAAGTCAAGGTGTGGTTGCGTTTCTTGTTTTAGGCTGGGCTTTCCCGCAGAGTTTGTGTTAATTATACAAAAAACCCTATGGTTTTTGGTTTCCGGGGTGTAGTTAATTGAAATGCGGATATCAAACAAACATCGAATTTGTTTGGTATTTAAGGCTGATACACTCCAAACGGCGAAAAAAAACAAACAAACATGCTGCTTTGTGGCTTTCCCTCAAAATGAAAAACAACCGTTGATTGATGTTGGTTTGCACTCCCAAAAATTGGAGGGGAAACGACAAACCAGAAGAAAAAAAAAAAACAAAAAACAAAAAACGTTTGACAAACCAACACTCTTTCTCAGAGTTGCGTTGTATTTTAGTTATTATGTTTCTGTGGCTTGAAGGTTAAACAACCCAACAACATCGAGTCTTTGGCCTTTTACTCCAAACACAACAATGAGGGACACCAAAACAAAACACAAAATCAAAACACATATTTGGCAAATTCAAAACTCTACCTTGGGTTTTGGTCTTAAGGATACTCTTTCAGCAACGTCATGAAACACACACACACAGTATTTCGCATTTGTCGGCATAGCAGCAGAGGTTGCTATCAGCAGTAATATGTCATGTAATCAACACAATACAACTGTGGGCGTGTCAAAGTTCGGAAGACATCTTTGGTAAACTAAACGTTCGTAAAAGGGACGCCAACATGATAGACACCCCTCATCCCTAGTGTTTAGCACATTCTCGATCTCGACGTGCTCCAGTCTTGCGGTTTACATCTGGGACCTTGTGCTCGCTAGCCCCCTGTACCCAGCGTGCATAGTAGATTTCACATAATTGTCTTGAATGGTTTCCTGCACAGTCTTGGTACAGTGATAAACCAATTAACCAGGAACTAGGGTAGTCTGTTGGGGAAACATTTCGGCGTTAGCTCCCTGTCCGTCTCCCTTGATAGACATGGTGCGCAACTTTGAAGACACGCGGCTCCGAGCCCATTTCAACCACTGCTGCTGCATGCAGTTGTGCTGTAAAGCCCCGGTCGAGTTGCACTAGTATGATCCAAGGCAAACATAACCCTGGAAACACCAATACGGGCAAGGCGGGTCCTCCGAAAAGACAACACCTGCAAAGGATGCCCCTACATTTGTCTGGCGCAATTTCAAGTTCTCACAAGGGTTTGTCACCACAAGCCTGCGTCGCCAATCTGAGGCTGCAACTCCAGCTTGAAAGACAAGACGAACGCCTGCCCCCGGTGGTCAGGGCATGGGACAACTCACCGCGCGATCAACATGATCAGTAGGATCAGAGCCTGCTGTTCTAAATTGGCACTCTTGCATTCGTGTCCTCGCACTAGAGCACTAGAGGGACCATCAGTTTGATGCAGGCCACCCAACACGAACACGCACACACCAACAAACACGATCACACGCAAACAAAAACACAAACCCCCGCACACACACACACAAACACAAACACACAAATACACACAATACACACACAAACGCAGAAACACATACCCAAACACAGATGAACACACAAACGCAAACATACACACACAAACTCACACAAACATAAGAAACAAACGAACAAACAAACACACAAACAAACACGCGAATACACACAACACACACGCACAAAAGGAACAACACACAAACAAAACAAACAAACATGCAAACACACAAGTACACACAAATACACACGAACGTACAAACCCACACGCTAAAAAGACACGCACACAACGACAAAAAACATAAGCACACATAAACACACAAACGCGCGCAAACACGCACACACACAGACATACACACACACACACACACGCAAATACGCAAATACACACGAGCATACAGACCCACACACATAGAAAAGACACGCAAACACACACACACAGGCAAAACAACAAAACACAAACACACAAACACACAACCACACAACCACACAACCGCACAACCGCACACACACACACACTCACACACGCACACACCACACAAACACACGGACACACACACACACATACACGCAAATATTGGCACAAACGCACACAACCACGCACAAGCACACACACACACAAAGCAAAGCAAGCACACACATAAACACACACGCAAACATTACAAACGCAAAACATACCAAAAAAAACAAAACATATATACGCACAAACACAAAAACACACAAGCGCACACATGTATATACAAACACACACACGCAAAGAAGCACGCACAATACCACACAGAAACACACACACACACAAACACAAATGAACACGCAAACACATATAAGCACACACAAACACACGCAAACATACAAACACACAAACGGACACAAGCACACAACCGCACACAAGCACACACAAACACACACACACACAGAAACATACAAACACACAAACGCACACAAGCACACACAAGCACACAAACACACACAGAAACATCAAACACGCAACAAACACACAAACACGCAAACACACACACACACACAAACACAAACACACAGAAACACACAGACAATAAGCACAGAAACACGCACACAAACATACAAGCACACACACGCACACAAACACAAACACACACACACACCAAAACAAAATCACCACACGCAAACATGCAACCAAAATACACACACACACACACACACGCACAAGCGCACAAACAAACAAACAAACACACACACACACACACAACCACACACACACACACACACACCCGCGCGCGCGCAGTAACACACACACACGAGCAACCCAAACACACACGCACACACACACACACAAATACACACAAATACACACAAGCAGAAACACACAGACACACACGAGCAACCCAAACACACAAATACACACAAATACACACAAGCAGAAACACACACACACACAACCACACACCAACATACTCAACCACACGCAAAAAAGACACGCGCACAACCGCCAAACACACGAACAGAGACAAAGACACACAAACAGTCGCGCAAACACAAACTCGCAAACACACACACACAAACACACAAACACACAAACACGCACACACACACACAAACACACCCACACACATACACGCACAAACACACATACACGCACAAACACACAAACACGCACAAACACACACACACACAAATTGACACAAACACACACACACACACACACACAACCGCGCACACCAAAATCACACACACGCCAAAAGGCACGCGTACAAATACGCACAACATATTCCACGCACGCAACCATACACAAGCACACACGAAGACACGAAAACACGGAAAACACGCAAACACACAAACACAAACACACACACACACAAAAAAAAACAAAAACAAATCAAAAAACAACAAACACGCAAACACACACAAACAAACACAAATAAACACAAACACAAACAAAAAGTGAGACAAACGCACGAACACACAAATACACACAAAGACACAAAAGCACTGACAGGCAGCACCCTCCCCCTTCTCAAAGCCAGATCGGTGGCAGCCCCCCTGACAAACCCCAAGCAGGCAAGCGAGCGCAAAGCCCTTCTTTTCCACAGCTGTGACGTGGCTGGGTGAGCCATGAGCCATCAGTGGGGGATCAATTGCATGCAGATCCAATCAATTTGAAAGGGAAATCGCAAAAGATCCACCTAGCATGCAATCAACCAGCATCATCCGTTTGATCAACCAGGGACCCAGATCTTAGATCAAGATCCTGGACTACCCCTTCATGCAAGACATTGGCAGGAACCGAACACTTTGAGAGCCGGGTCGAGGAACGGGCGGCGATAGTTCTAGAGAAAGACTCCGACGCAGTGGAGCCGTCGCTCAAGTACTCCACGCTTGTTGAGGCCGGCCTCTACTTTCTTCAGCACACTCAATCGGCAGAAGTGACGGGCGCGCGGTGTGTACACAGGGCAGGGGCGGCAGGGACGGGATCAGCAAGAGCTATGACCCGCGCTTGCTAGGGATTCCTTAAGAACTGCAGAGCTGCCCGGGTAGACCTGTGCCAACTTCGTCGTCCACGCAAACACAAACACACAAACGCAAAAAACCACACACACACACACAACCACACACAAGCATACACGCAAACACACCAAACACAACACGCACACTACCACACAAAAACACAAACAAACAAACACAAATGAACACGCAAGCACAAATAAACACACACACAAACCTACAAACACACAAACGCACACCCACACACACACACACACAAAACGCTTGTTTTGGCTGGCCTCAGGTGCCCAAAGCCGCACCGCGCCTAACCTGGGCGCAAAAAAAAGGTTTCCGAATGAGAGTAAGACAAGATATTTGGGGCATCCCACAATTTGCAGTCCCCCCTTTATGACTCGTGTTTAAAGGCAATCCAACAGGAAACAGCGCTGTGTTTGGGGGTCGCCCAAACAAAGAAAGCAGAAACACATAGCTCTCAGGGCTCAACCCCAATAGTTGTTCCCGAAGAAAACATGTCGAAAGCCTCACGGGGCCGAAAGTTTGTTTGATTGGTTCATCGAGAAACTCCAAAACCAAAAAGCAGAAAGGGCATACTGGGAACATCACATGTAATTTAAGATACATATCAAACATACTGTGGATGGACGAAATGCTGCACCACGGAAACCATTGTTCATTAGTATTTACAGGGGAATCATCATTCCAGGGTTTCTTAGGTGGTGCAGGATTTCGTCCATCCACTGTATGGCTGTAGTTGTTTCTACGCTTCACTTTCGGTGTCACTCTTGTCACTACACAGGGCCTTCAGACTCCATCACAAGGCCCGGTCAGCTTGGGCACGTTCCGCAGCTGCACAGTGAGCCCGTCGTGCGCCTAAGCGCGAAAGTTACCTCCTGCCACTGCAAATGCCCATTATTTTCGAAGGTGTCAGGCTAACCCTGGCAAAGGAGGACGTATTCACCATCGAAAAACCGGGCTTTTTCAAAAGTAACCCTAAACAAACTGGGTGGTGGAGCGGGGGTAGGGCTTTAGGGTTGATGTAGGGTTGGTTTCGGGTTAGTTGAGGTGGCCTTCTTTCAAATAATTTCTGCCATGCTGGGCCTTGTTGAACCTGTCCCACAAGCATTTGTTCGGGTCCAAGCAGAGTTGTTCCGAAGGAAACATTATTTAGGGGGACCCCAATCCAGCATCAGATGCAAAAGCCAGCATCAGAGTTCGCATTACCATCAGATTCAGCAGCATCCGCCAGCTGCTGATAACGCATCCCCATCTCTTGCTCCACATTTACTATGGTCAGGCTTCAGCGCTGGAACGGGTGCTCCTGCTTGCTTTACGAGCGGGATGCTTGGCGGGGTCCTGTTTCAGAGTGGGGGCTCTTTACTACAGGTGGGTGCTAGAAAATGTGAGCAATTCTCCTGACCACTCAGGATTCCATACCTCAACCAAATCTCCCAATTGCCGTCAATTCGTTTGGGCCCAAACACTCTCGGCTCTAAACCCAAGATGCAATGCCTTGTGAAAACACAGCCTTTTTTCTACTGGTTGGCCTGCAGTGAACTCCGCTCGCGACATGGAGGCAACTCACATTGAAGCGCCTACTTTTCCCGCGGCTTGGCTGCCCAGCTCGACTTTGAATCTTGTCCTTGGCCATGTCTGATTCTGGCCTTGGCTGTGTGACCGCCATTTTTTTGGATTAACCCCCTACGATCCCTTGCCCCCTGAACCCGGCGACGAATCAGTAAGCAATAGAAACAGACGTCTAAACCAAACCATCCAAATAGGTTCGGGACACTCTTCCTGACTCTCTTGCCGGGAAAACAACCAATCACAAACTGCTCAAGACTCTCAATGAGGAAAGACTCAAAAGTGACTCATCCGCGTTCCAAAAGGCCATTGAATGTCATTTGTTTCAATACTGACATGTATGGTGACACAGCCATCGGTTTACCAGGAGTTCTTTCGAGCGTGTGAGGTGTTGCTGTGGCCGTTACATTGCCATTGCAATGGATTGCCTGATCCAGCATGATTGCAGCCTGGTCAATGTGTCAGAATCCGTATAGTGTGTAACAACATGAATGGCCAATAAAAGCTCCACAAGTCAATTTCAACATGTTGCGCTAGCGTTCGGGACCCCATCCAAATTGCTAAAACAACTTATTTGGTCTTCCGTGAAACAGCCACTCAAACAAGCGGGCACTGCTACTTCAAGCAAGCTGCGGCAAACAGCTTCTGATATCCACTTCAATTGGCTGAATTATGCTGCATAGGGGATGCTGGCGCGGAAGTTGTACCGTGTGGCTCCTTGGCTTTGCAGCAAGTCCGACTGTAATTTGGGAAATGGAAGGAGATCAACACAAGAGAAAACACACCAACAACGTTTGCAGAGTCTAGCTTTCTAAACTTCTAGCTTCGACTGAGTCAGCCTTTCAACTCAGATCTGTCAAAAGGCAGAAGAAGGTCTTGGCCGTTCTTGCCTGTCTTGATTAAAAACATGTTTGCAGGAAAAAAAAACATGATGCGCGAGGAATGAGCGGTCTACAATGGTGGAAGCACGGAGGGCCCACGTTTGCCCTAAGCATTGATCTTGCTTGCTGTTAATCCCTCAGCAAAGAGTTGAACTTTTTGTGGGCTCAATGCAAAACTCGTAATCTCCCAAAAAGTTAGAGTCTAAAGATTCAATGCAATAGCAATCCAGTGACAACAATTGTGAACACCAACGCCAGCTGAAATAATGACCTTGCAAGGAGTGCAAAAGCATCCCCCTAGCCCTTCGGGATTTCCCCGATTTGCCAGCATGAATCGCAGCCTCGTTGAGGCCCCCCACACATAGAAGTCAGAGACGGCCGCAGCAAGCAGCACCACGCCAGCTTTGC